AGTGTGCAATCTGTAATTCTGCAACCCGCCTAGCCATTAGCCCTTGCAATATGCACGTGCAAAAACCCACCTTTGCCCACTCTCTCTCTTCCACCCCCCCCCCTTCCACCCTCACACACACCCCCCGCGGGACCACGACCCTACGGCCATCTCGGGAACGAAATAACTGGGATTTTTCAATAGACCGAAATTTATATAGACTGGGGGGTGGAGGGTGGGGGTGGGGGGGGGTGGATGGCGAGTTGATGAAAGGCGAAAAAGAATTTCAATTGAAGTTGAGAAGGGCGACGATAGAGGATGAAATGTGACGAGGGCGTAGAATGAAGCGTTTAAACTGGCCTTTCATTCTTCTCGTAATTGGGTGAATATTTTGCACGCTCTAAACACTTACTTAGTGAATAGACTACACGCTCTAAACACTTTATTCACTGAATAGACTGCACGTTCTAAACAGACTCATTGAACAGACTCCACGCTTTAAATACCTTATTCACTGAACACACTGCACGCTCTAAACAGACTCTTTGAACAGACTCCTCGCTCTACATACTTCATTCACTGGATAGACTTCACGCTGTTAACACTTACTCGCTGAATAGACTCCACGCTCGAAACACTTTATTCACTGAATACAGTGCACGCTCGAAACACTCATTGAACAGACTCCACGCTCTTCGCATTTCACTGAACAGACTCCACGCTCCAAACATTTTATTCACTGAAAAGAATCTATTTGAAACAGACCATTGAACAGACACCACGCTCGCATTTCATAGACTCCACGCTCTTGAACAGATTCCACGCTCTAAACACACTGAACAGACTCCACCCAAACACTTTATTCACTGAAAAGACTACGCTTAACAGACACTGAACAGACTCCACGCTCTAAACACCCATTGAACAGATTCCACGCTCTAAACACTCACTGAACAGACTCCACGCTCCAAACACTTTATTCACTGAATAGACTTGGTCAATGAATAGACTGCACGTTCTAAACATTTACACTCGACGGATCACTGGCGATTTTTTTTTTTTTTTTTTTTTTTTACCGAGAAAAATGGTAGAAGTGAAGCCCTCATATCGTTAGGTTATGCGTAATTTGTGCCAGTTTCCTGCCGACAATGATATTTTTTTTTGTTTTTGCTTTTGTTATGACATAATTGATGCATTTGTTTGTTTGTTCATTTACTATTTATTTGTTTATTTTATTTACTTGTTTTTTATTTTTACTTATCTATTCCTTTAGTGATTTACTTTTCTATTAATTTACTTATTAACTTATCTATATATCTATTTGTTTATTTATATTATTATCTATGTGTATTCATTTACTATCACTATTATCTATATATTTATTCAATTATTTTTTCATCGATCTATTCGTATATTATTCTGAAGGAGGTTAACTTACATTAACGATCTTGATTGATAATTAAACATATGAAACCCCCCCCCCCCAAAAAAAAAAAAAAAAAAAAAAAAACATTAACACTGATAGCCTTGTTGGCCTCCCGATAAATTTTTCTCAAAACGAAAAAAAAACAAGAAAAAATAATACGAAGGCCTATCACGGCCTATTATTATTGTCATCATCATCATCATCATCATCATCATGATCATCATCATCATCATCATCATCATCATCATCATCATCATCATCATCATCATCATTATTTATTTTGCAAATACACAAAACGAAAATACTGCAATACACCGCCAATGGAGGTCGCTGAGGCCGTCGAAAGTTGTGTCACCAAAACGCAAAAGTGAATCATTTAATTGGCTGAGAATGTGAGGTCAAACACGAGGTCGAGAACTGAATGAGGTGGAAGTAGAGTCCGTACTTAAGTATAGGTCACTGTGTAAGAAAAGGAAATTCATTAAATAACGGATAATTACACCGTATATTTGTGATTGAGTCTCCTATATTTTGGTCATTTTCGTTACGTAATTATGAGAAAGATAGAGGATGCAGCTTCTGAAAGTATTCTCATCCGTTCATACATTTTACAACGTACGTATATAGTCTGTTTACCCTCTAGGCTACAGTGCCCATCCTGCCGCCCCTGACTAGATCCCAAAATTGGCACAAAAATTGATGTTTTATTAATATATTCCTGACTCCTGTTTTCTTGTTTTGTACGAGTGGTCCTGGCGGATTCAGTGACAAGTACCTTTCTATTCGAGTGGTTTTGGAAAATCCTTTAGTGTAGGATCGTCATATTATTATCTTAAACTTCGCATTGTACTTTAAAAATTTTCCTAAAAGAATAGTACACCTCTTAGAATCGTTATATTCTTAATATCGTAAATCAAACAATGTAATAGGAATTCCCCTTAAATAATAGAATCATCATATTCTTAATTCCTTAAATTACGACACATTTTAAGGTAAATTCCCATTAAAGAGTACTTGCACATTTTCCATAAGCCAAACTTAAAGCACATTGCAATAAATTCCCCTTAAAGAGTACCACACATCCTTTTATAACCCGAAAAAATAAATAAACAAAAAGACCCAACCACCAAACTCACACGCAAGCACAAAATCCAATTAAATCATGACAATACCAGAATCTCCAGGCGATCACAGCACGTCCAAACAAACCCTACCTCGTACTGCCGATGGGCGGGGAATGGGCGTGCATTGAGGCGAGGGCGGCGAGGGCGTGTTCTCCAGCCCGCACCTGTTCCATGCTCCCTGCCACCAGGTTCCTCGCCGACGAAACCTCCTTCACAACGCGGTGTCTGCGGGAGAGAGACAATGATTTAGTTTATTCCATCCGTTACATTGGTTATTTATCATGTTTAGTGTGGTAGGTTCTTGTTATTTTAGTCAAATTACGGCAATAATTTAGTTTATTCCATTTGTTACAATGATTATTTCTGATGTTTGGTGTGGCAGGCTCCTGTGACGACATTCAAATTAAGACTAAACTACCCCCCCCCCCCGCCCGTGTACAATGATCATTATATTTGATGTTAATATGACAGGCTATTGGGACGACATACAAATTGCGTCTGTTTATTTCTGCTTCTAAATTACCCCCTATGTGCAAGGAATGGCCGGGGTTACCATACACTGGCAGTGCGGGATTTGAACGCGTGTCAGTAATGTTGCTAGAAGAGAACGGTACCAGAAATGAAAGACTAGATTCTCTGTTTTGTTTTTTTTTTTTTTTTTTTGGGGGGGGAGGGGGGGGTGAGAAGAGAGACACAATACTGAAACTAATAATTGTGCTCATTGTTGAAACTAATAAAAACTAATAATTGTGCCCATTGTACAAATTAATTCCTTTTTTGTATAAGGGGGTGTCCTGATGCTTACATGCACTCTTTACATTGATACAATATCAACGGAAAAAGAGGTGGTACCATAAACAAGGACATTTATTAATTTCCCTTCAATATAGAATCAACTCGATATTCCATTGACTTTTGTTATATAACCAACTATCAACTTACAATTAGGCACAAAAACGATATATCTTTATCAAGCCTTAAAAGTTACACTCAAGAGTTAAGATGAGACTAAAAATCGCTTGTCATCGAAAGGACAAAGGAACATCAAAGGACAGAGTGATAAAGCAGCAGGAAGACGAGAGAATGGGAAGGATGTGTGTGTGTGTGTGTGTGTGTGTGTGTGTGTGTGTGTGTGTGTGTGTGTGTGTGTGTGTGTGTGTGTGTGTGTGTGTGTGTGTGTGTGTGTGTGTGTGTGTGTGTGTGTGCTGTGTGTGTGTGTGTGTGTGTGCGTGGTGTGCGTGCGGGCGTGTAAAATCTATCTCTATAGTAAATCAAATACAAATTACATAGTGACAGACATGAAAAAAAAAACAAAAATCACCCTTACGACACACGAAAACACCATCCCCCACCCCTCTACCCCCCACCCCCCTCCCACCCACACAAAAACCGAAGACGCGCCCGTGCAGCCGCCCCTTAAGCCCTGGCCACTCCTCCTTCAGCGTCCTCAAGCCGAGCGACGTCCCCCCCCCGCGGCCACGGCAGGAGGACCCGCGAGGGAGCCGTCGACCCCCGGGTTTTACGACGGCTTCTCCGCCTTTTTCGGGCCTTTAAACACGGGCGCTTGGCGAAGGATGCCCCGTCAGACGCCACTCGTTGCCTGGTCGAGTGTTTGCCCGCTCCTGCGCTCTCTCGCCGGCATGCGTTGGCTTGGAGAGGCTTGGAGTTTTTTTTTTTTTTTTTTTTTTTTTTTTTTTTTTTTTTTTTTAGTTTGTTCTCCTCTCCACTTCGCTCAAGCTCTTCGTTTGTATTTGTTGTTGAATCCTTTGTTGGGTTTGGGATTATTAATAATGTGAGGCCGTGATTTTTTTTATCTTTTTCTTTTCTTTAGTTACTCTTCTTTTCTTTCGTGTTTTTCTTTTCCTTTACTTTTGTTTTTCTTTTCATTCTCTTTATCTTAATCTCTTCTTCTGTTACTCCTTTTTCTTTTCTCTTCTCTTTTTTATACACGCGAAGTACAAGAACACAGAAAAACGAACCTCATCCGAACTTCGCCAAGAGCTGCGTCAGTGACAAGCCATTATACTCGGATGTCACTCTCGTCTTCTGCCCTTTTTGCCTCGGGTCCTGTCGCTTGCTGTCGGCTCCTGTCGCGCCTCAAAATTCGGACAGCTAATCAAAATATTTATGCTGTTTGTTCGGTCCAATAGAGCGGGTTTGTGTTTTGGGTTCAGTGCCTGTTATCTCTCACTTCGACCTTGACTGACAGCTTCTTCATAATCCACTCTGTCCCTCCACAATGACCCGCCCTCTTGGGAGTCTGCTTCCCTCAGTGTCGCCAGAGACAGCTATGTGGTCGTACATATACAAACACACGCGCAGACACACACACACACACACACACACACACACACACACACACACACACACACACACACACACACACACACACACACACACACACAACAGATATATATATATATATATATATATATATATATATATATACGTAATACCCACGTAAATAAACA